AGACTGGATTTCGGTCCGATGTAGGGGACAAGGTCCCAGTCAGTTCTGGACTTCGGTCCGATGCAGTTAGCCCGAACTTCGGTCCGATGCAGGGGACAAGGTCCCAGTCAGTTCTGGACTTCGGTTCGATGCAATTAGTCTGGAATTCGGTCCGATGCAGGGGCAAGGCCCAAGTTAGTACGGACCTTGGTCCGATGCAGGGGGCAAGGCCGCAGTTAGTCCAGACCTCAGTCTGATACAGTGGGAAAGGCCCATAAAGCTTCCACCTTTATGCCTCCACTACTCTGAACACCTCTAAATCTGGATGGATCTAGCTTGGGGATGTCCAAATCCCACAAGACATACTTTTTAGACCATAAACTCCATAAAAAGGGACATAAAGAGATCTATCAAACTAGAAGTCAAGGTGAGAACTTGATTTCCCGAAACTGAAGATGATGAAGCAAACTTCCTAGATCTACAACCTTTTCCTTGGGCCTTCAACCTCCTTTTTCTTCTTCTAGACTTCAAGAACACTCTAAATCCCTTAATAAGGCTCACACACTCAAAGAGAACACTAGGGTTTCATGGGACAGGTTCTAGACAACAGAGGCTACAAAGGAGGCTGATAGAATGAGAATAAGATGCTTAAATAGGGCACCAACTCCCGATTTAGGGTTTTCCCAAAACCTGGCAGGCTCGCCAAGTTAGTCTTTTGACTCGTCAAGTAGGTCACTTATCCTGCGACCAAATTCGCATTCCTACTCGTCGAGTCACCCAACTACTTGACGAGTCACTTCCTTATCTTGAAGTTTTCTTTCGTTTCTAGGTCTTCTGAATTCAAGGTGTTACAAGTATTATTCTTAAGTTTCACTTTGCATGTTTTGACTTCCTGAATAACTAGGTTATTCAAACCATCTATAGTCGATCATACTTTGGAAGGAGGTATTGAGGAAAAACTATTATGAATGGGTATGTAGAGGTATTTTGGTCATAGCACAAGTTTGCTATAGTGTTCATGGGTGCTCCTTGAATAAGATTCGAGTATTGGATTCAACCTACACTCATTTGAATCACTTTATGGATTTTATCACGAGTGATCATGAGACGATAATATCTTATATTCTTGAAATGGAGACATGTGAGTTGTAGTTGCAAGTCGGTTGCACATTGACATATGTAAACACACCAGTAACTTGGATGTTGTAAAACATATTGTTGTGTGTAATTTGGTGAGTAAATACAAGCAAGCATTTGAGTCGAAGTTTATCCATTCCGTTTACCATTAGAGGGTTAAAAGAGATATATGTGGGCCTCTCGATGATTTAGTGATGACATCAGGCCTAGACTGATTTGATTTGTTAAATTAGTCGGTCATCATAAATCGGAAATCGGGATACAACAGATGGACAGAGAGAATGTTTATAATCCCTATCTCAGTCTATATGATATCTAGAATAGAGGAATATATTATCCCTTATCTAATGGACACATCATTAACTAGGTCAAAGTTCGACAACAACTTTTAAGAGCTACGATTGCTAGTCGGCCTGTGGAGTTGTACTTGTAATAATAGTTATTAGACTTATCCAAGTGGGATACTGTTGGACTAGTGTTTAAGTCAATAACTATAACTGGTATGTACTTGACTCGAGAGTAGCATGGTCCATTTGGGTTGCATATCATCGCGACAATTTGATAGGATGGACTTTTGAGAAGAAGTTATTTATGGTTTATTAATATATTATAAGTTCTAATATATTAATATGAAATCATATTATTTAATTAGTATTGATCAAGAATTAATTTGGAATTAATTTTGTGATCAAAAGAGACTAATTAAATATAAGGGGTTGATTCGGTAAACCTATATGGTAACTTATGGATACTCCATTAAGGTTTTAACCCATGGAGCATGAGGGATATGGAAAGTCATTAGGGTTTACATGGTGTAACCCTGGTATGCCACACTATATAAGAACCCCTCTAGATCATGAAATTGGCACTAAGGAGTGACTAGTGGAAACACAAGAGGGCAAGCTGATTTTATGAAGTGCAAGTGACCTCTTCTCAAGTTCCTCCATTTTTTGGTGATTTTGTGTGATTCCATTTGTAGTGCAACACTTGGGGCACTAAGCTCTTAAAGCTCCAACCAACTAGCTACAATAAAATGCATGTTATATAACTTGTTTTATTACCCAAGTATCAATTTTAGTATGCTAGTTAGGGTAATACCTTGGAAAGTTCATGTTTGCATGTATAATAAAGAAAACATAGATCCAAGGTATTTAAGGTTGCATGTACACCTTAGGAGTGTTAGAATGATCAAAACCTATCACATGCGCACATTGGCAACATGTTTTCGACCATTGTAGTTATATTCTGATATATTTTAATAAATAAAAATTAATATTTTAGGTTGAAAATTGGGACATTAGAACTAGTTTGTTGCAGAGAATCCAAGTGTGGTGACTATGTCGGATGCATGTATGTTTTCAATTTATTCTATATCTTGTATTTATGAATTAAGTTTGCTTTTAAGTGTTTCCTTCTAAAAGGAAGTCCTCCAATGTATGAAATTTTGTTGGTAATGTCGTGAGGTCCTCAATGGACGACATGGTTGGGGTAGCTTAGACTTAGGGATATCATCTTAATTTCAATTGTTCATTTGTGAATTTATCTTAACTCGTGTTAAAGGAGTCGGGTTAGGAAAACCGATAAAGGGGTTCGAAGGGTGTTGTAAGAGTATAATGTGAGAACAAGTATCAAGGACAAAATCTAATTTTAGTGGGGGAGAATTATAACACCCGTTTTCCAAAATGGATCAGTTAAGGGTTAAGATGGATTAGAGGTAAGGTTTTTGGGAAAAACCTTGCATCACGACATGATGAATAGTGTGTCACATTGTGACGTGCAATTCAGATGTCATGTTTTCGGAGTGCGTATCACGACATGCCAAGCAAGGTGTCACGACATGACGTAATCTGCAGCCCAAGCCCGCAAATTTTTATGGTTTCTTCCATATTTAAAGCCATTAACTCATGACCTATGGTATCCTCTTCATCCTCCATCTCTTTCAAATAAAACCCTAGCCTCCTTGAAGCTTTGAGAGCTTGTTCATTTGATTTAAAGGTAAGTTTTTAGTCTTTGGTGGACATTGAAGAAATATGAAGATCATATTGGTGCAAGGGAGCAAGGAACCAACTTGGATCCACCATCTACTTCAGATTTATGAGTGATTAGAGGTATAACGCTCTCATCTTGGCTTATATTCTTCTTGGTGCAAGTTTGAGTCCTTTTTGTAAGATTTTGGTCCCTTATTTTGATGCTTTTGGAGTTTTAATAACTCCTCTTTGCGATGGATTTCCTAGGACATTAGGCTTCCGTACAATGAGAAAAAGGACCATGTTTAGTATATCTTGTGCTTACACTTAAGTTATCATCTCATTAAGGACTTAATGGTCTTAGAATGTTAGATCTGGCCTTGGTATGGATTTGTATGGATAAAGTTGAAAACATCATCCATTAACTTAGTGTGAAAGAGCAGATCTGAACTTTTGGCCTTAGATCTGTATGGATTAAAAACTTAATGGAAAAGTTGGCATTCTACCAGATCTCATGACGTATCCAACGGCTTGCCATGTCTTGTTGAGTCTCTGATGCCCGAATGTTTCTTCATTAGTTCGCAATGATGTGACCAAGAGCTTGGTTATTGATTAAGGTTCTACAGTGTTTGGTGCTAGTCAGTTTTGCAGGAGAAATCAGTGTAGAGAGTGAGTGTGTTGTTGTGTTTCTTGGGTCTCATACTTAGGTGAGTTTCCTCATTATACTATGTATTGCATTGTATATCCTTGTATGTTCGGATATAAGAGTAGTAGTATGCTAGTTAGAGTAGTAGTAGGTTGGTCGTCATCTAGTGGAGTGCTCTAGGGTTGTATGTGGTTATGTAGGATAGCCTAAGAACTGTTGATCTAGGCTTTATTTCCAGTTCATTGCTTGGTTGTGGCTCTAGAGTAGGATCTCTTGTTCGAATGTCTTTCTCACCTCTGATTACATATAACTATGCATTCCTTAGAGATTTTCCAATAGTGGTTTAGTGATGTATGAGGTCGGTTATGTGGTAGTGAAATGTTAGACTGGTAGAGTAGGGTAAATAGTTGTTTGTGCTTATGTGATTACTTGATTACTTACTTGTTTGATATGTTGTCATATTGTGGTGGGGTGTTGACATGCTCCTGCTTTGTGTTGTAGGCCAACAAACCCATGAGCAATCCATTCAAAAGTTGTAGGCCAGGTGGGGGCAATCAAGTCTTTAGTGGTAGGCCTAAGAGGAATCGAGTCTTAGGCGAAGGGTTGACCAGGGGGCATTCCGGTTTTAACTTGTGGGCTCGAGGGTAATCCAGACTTCATGTCGTGGGCTCGGGATCAATCCAGTCTTCATGTTGTGGGCCTGGTGTGCATGCATTATATGTATATTGTGGTGTCTGGTATTTTGAGTGAACTCACTAAGCTTTGTCTTACAATTGTGGATTAAATGTTTTTTTAAGTACTAGTGACAATTGTGGGAAAGTGAAGGTACGACTGTACAAATTCATCAGTAGCCATAGAGATTCCACGTTTATTAAATTACTCTAAGTTTTAAATAAATGTATTTTGGAACAATTGGTTTTAAACAAATGGGAAGTTACACACATTGGGTACCGGGTATTGCATCTGCGGTGTTTGAGTAATGAAAACCTACCATAGTTGTGTGCAATCTACACCACAATTGCATCATAACTACATTTAGACTTGGCAATTCATGTATTCGTGTCATGAAAACGTGTTAACCACGAATTTCACACAATACGAATATACGACGAGAAATAAGCTTTATCTCAGTTTTCAAGATGTATTCATGTCGTGTCGTGTCATTTATAGATTCGTATATTCGTGTCTCGAATTGCCATGTCTAACTACCCTGGAGCCAAATCTAGAGCCTTAGTTTTCGAAGCATCAATAAGGTCAAATGGAAAATCACATGTACGATAAATAGAACATCAATTGCAACCACAAATATACATTACATATCTTTGTAAAATGACATGTATACAAGATGACTATCATGTTTTGGCGACCTCAAATACATGAGATGAGTTTCTAAAATAATGGGACTTGCTTTTTACATAGAATATGATAATCTATCTTTTCATGATATCATCTTTGGTCACAGTAAAATCCCAAAGATCACCATATTTTTCATTGAAGTCCCAAATATCCATCGTGTTGTAGTCCGATATTAACTTGTCTCGAGAACCTTTCTCCATGTTATATATTTGTGGCTCAAAGTTGTACGCTTCACTTGGTTTATCCATCTCAATTATGCAAAATACTACAACAAATATCGCCGCTCCAATGTACATATATTCTCCCTGTAACAAAGGACATTAACGTCTTTTACATAAACAATAGATTGATATTCATCAACAATTAAGTTGTTTTAATGGATTTAGAAACTCTTTTTAAAAAACAAAAGTTTAGTGGCAATCTAACCGGAACATTGAGGTACATCCCAAGAGCGACAGCAGGAAGAAATAACCATGAAATGAGACCTAAGGAATGCAATGTTAGTTTGTTCATTCGGTATACTTATAGCTAATTTTGTATTTATCTATAATCTAGGGACTAGTATCGTCAACCTTTTGTAGTTACTTATGCTTTATGTAAATTGGTCAAATTTAATAATAGAATCTGAGCATTAAATTGGTTAGAGAATTTATTTTGTATGGCATCGAATATGAAGAATCAACTGAAATTAGCGTTCACGAAGAAAAGTAAGAATGACAAAAATGGTCCCTGAACTATGGATAGATACAAAACTAGCTATAAGATGTACCTTGGAAACCAGTGGGAGGGTCGACCGCTGCATAATCTTCTGCTATTGATCCCCAAAATGTTGCTGTAAGTGTAAAATGAGATATAAGGGCATGTAGAAATATATTTTTATTATAAATAATAAAGGGTAAGTAATCAAAACAAATTGAAAAGTTATTAATTCACATAAATTTTCTTACATTTGTCATCTGCTTCATTGTATGTGTGGTGTCCATCATACTTTCCATAGACAAAATCATCCTAATCCAATATCAAATTTGATTATTATATGCCATCATATACAACTAAATATAGAGTGATCAAAATCGAAACCAATGTTGTATATTTTCTCTCATCCACATTAATTTCTTCAAATTCTTATCTTTAATTTTGTTCCACAAGTTTTCCTTCAATTTTCTTCATGAAAAAAAAGAGAAACAAATAGTATCTGTAGATTTTCAACAACAATCAACGACGATGTAAAACCTCATCAGCAAAAATTTAATTGATTTGGGAATCGAGAAATCTTTAGCAGATCTATTCTAAATGGAAGATGAAATTCGAGAAGGAAACATACATCACTAATGCCACTGTTCTCCCACCTATCGACAGGATCTTCATTCAGGTCAGGTTCGATATCAGTTAATCCAGCTGCGTTTAATCTGTTTATCCTGTTTCTACCATTACACCGATTGTTGTTGCTTCTGTATCTGAGACCGAATGAAGTAGAACAAATTGCGTTACTTGAAACCCTAATCCTGTTTGGGGATTGATCGGAGATAGCAGCGATTTTGGGGATTGAGGAAATGGATAAAGCAGAGAGTGGTTTTGCTGAAAGCCCCGCCATTTTTGTTTTGGAGTCTAATTGTGTGGCTTTTTGGAAATTTAGTTGTTCGTGGGAAGATGATGTTCGAGTGATTGGCAGTGAATGTTTCTTACGTCACTGTCAAGTAATTATGTGCCACGTATATTATCATCGGTTTTTCCTAATTGTATATGTAGATAAAAAGGGGTGAGTTCTTTATTCTTATTGGTTGATGGGTAGTTATTTATTTCCTAAAATGTTTGGATTATAACACATAAGGATTTAACCGATCAACCAATCTGAAGTGGGTTTATATCTACTCCTTCATAGGTATTTATTTCCATTTTCGCGACCAATCTGAACTGGGTTTATATCTACTGTATATACAACTACAAGATCCCTAAACTTTGGAATGTAATGTTCATCAAGTATTCTATTTGTCTGCCTTCGTGAAGGAAAACTACTGAAGCAATGATAATCGGGAAAGTTAAATATGGTTGCCTGAGAAAAATTTTTATCTTTTTGTAAAGCCAAAAGATAGTGGCATTTAAGATATTGTCTTTACATGTTAAAAAAGTTTCTTTGATTTTCTGTTTTGAGGTAAGAACGTTAAGTAGAGTCATATAAGCTTATTGGATTTCGAATTTAGCATTAGAATTAAGTTATTTACTGATTCTGGTTTTCAGGCAGTTTAAGCGACTAATTGGGACCAACCGACTTATATACCCTTATATCCGACTTATATACCCTTAGTAAGATTTTATCTAGGTGTTGGTATTAGCCGACATTGGCAATAGATGTAAAAGATGGTTTGATTTGAACAATCTAGGTTTTATGTTTATCTAATTTTAGTTATATTTTCATCTACATGATCTACATTTGTTTTTTCTCATGTTTTTGAAGTGGATTAAGTTGTTTGAGTTGTTATCACCAGGTATAGCAATCACTTCCCCAAATCCAGATAAATAAACTATTTCAGTTGTTGGTTGATTACTAAATGCTCTTAGTACAAATTACTCATATGCTAGGAAATATTTGATTCATTTATGCTACCACAAGCTCCTATTCATTTAATAGCATGCCTCAAGTTGTAATGATTTGAATCTGAATCAATGGTTAAACAGTAAGGATTTTTAGACTATACTCCAAGAAATCTACTTTTACTTGGGCTATGGCAAAGTATCCCGTGTATATTTATATGTTTATGTTGTTACAACTTAATAGGTTTAAGAAATTGTTGATGCCAAGGACCATCGTAAATTGTACATTGCAAGCCTCAGTTTTAAAGGTAACATTTCGTGAATTTGTTTTTAATGACTCGTGGACAAGTGGGTAGCATACAAATTTGGGTAAGTTTATATGTTTTCTTGATGAAAGTCTATCCAATTATAGCAATGTCATTTAAATAGATATGAATTTTTAAATTGATAAGTTTTACTTTTTACTGATATGGTGCATTGCAAAATATCGCACTTTGAGCATCAATAAGAAATCTATCCTATCAGGCTCGATGACTAGGAGAAGCAATGCAAAATCTGGATTTTATTCACTTTCTTTAAAATATTGAAGGCTTCCAACCCCCGTAACATGGGGGAACCTCCTCTAGTTGTTTCTTAATTTGGTAAATAAGAATATGTAAAACTTTTGTTTTGATATTGGACATGTTTGTCAAAACTAACGGATAGCTTGTAGGTGGTAGCATTTTTTAAATACTATGTGAAGTAGCATTTGGATTTAAAACGTTCTGTTTAAATTAAATGCTAGAAACTTATATTGCCAAATGGGTGATCAAAATGGAATGTTTTGTCGAACTCTAGAAGCTAAATGTTCTCAAACATTCACAAACGTTTCGTGCTAACACACCTTATGTATTAATTAAAATAAAGTAAAGAGATAGAGTTTTACTTTGGAGGTGAAATAATTTAAAATTTTTTAAATTATATGTGATGATTTTGCTAGAATTCAAAGTTTAGATGTAAATATGCTGATAAAACATGAAACATCCCAAAAAATTATGACAAAAATTTTATTTTTAAATTATTAAATAAACCATAGTTATCAAGATCATTTCATCCAAAAACATAAGTCATCGTATCAAATAAGACTATCGTATCAAAACACATGTCAACATATCAGAGTAAAACATCCCATGTTGAAATTATGGTGTGTGCAATGCAGTCATCCCGAGGTTTTCTCCTTGCAACTAGAGGTACCTAAAACCTAAACCGAAAACCGTAAGCACGAAGCTTAGTGAGTCTTGCCAAACTACTACATACCATACACATAATTACATAAATTGGGCCCCCACCCCTTCCTCGGGCCCGCCCGGCATCAAGCAATGTCCAGTATTAGACCCCGCCTGGCATCATGTAACAGCCTGAAATCTAGGTCAGCTTTATGACCCTTCTATTTTGAGAGAGTTGACAAATTAGTCCCTTACGTTCTATGGTGGATTGGTGAGTACGTTGGGTATACTAAGGTGTACGCCGCGCGTACTCACACGCTTAAATGGAACCCGGACTCGCCCGGGTACGCTGGGCGTACCTAAGGGTTACGTTGGGCATAGTGAGACCAGATGTAAAACCTAATTTCTGGTTTGTGCACTATAAAAGGAACATGTAGTGCTTTGCCCTAGTCACCTTATCCCCTTGAGTGAGTCCTTAGAGAGCTGAGATCCATGCTTTAGCTTGTGTGTGTGTGTGTGTGTTTTGAGCTTGAAGATATCTTTTCAAGGTGAAGAATGAGAAGAAGGAGCCATTATTGGAGCTAGAAGTTGAAGAACAAGTGTAAATCTAAGTTCTACATCGGTTGGAGATCCCTTCTGAGGTAAAAAGCTCAAAGCTTTCCTTGTTCTTCATAAGTTTTGCTTTTTGGACCATTTTTAGGGTTTTTGGTTCGAAGTTGGAGACTTTGTGTGCAAAGAGTCTCCATGAGCTTAGATTTCACCTTTTCTAGTGTATATTGTGTTGAGGATTCATAAAAATCCAGTCTTGGACGTGGATCTTGTGTCATGCATGAGTTATAGTCTCATTATGGAAAGGCTTAAAGGTTTCAACTTTATGGATTAAGTCACATTAGAGGAGTCAGATCTAAATTTTGGATGCAAATCTTAACCGATTAAGACCTGAATGAGATACATTAGGAAACTGGGTATTACGTTGGGAGTAATCCCAGTACGTGCCGCGTAAGGGGCCGCGTACCCCGATTCTATAAAGGCTCCGGGTACGCCCAGCGTACACGTTTGGTACGCGCAGCATAACCCGGAGGGTTGACTTTTGTTGACATTTAGGGTTTGGTCAACTTTAGTGTAATTGAGCCAAGTAAGGGGTAAAATGGTCTTTTACCTTCCTGAGAGTGATTAGAGGGAATGGTCTAGCCTAGGGAAATGTGTTGATGTTTAGTGTTATTTCATATGATTAGGCGGAGGCTAGATCTTATCCCACAGAGTCCAAGATTTCTGAGATTTACGAGTTACCGAGCTACACAAGGTGAGTCTTCTCACTATACGTTACCTAGAGTGGTATTTATGTGGACCGGAGGGTCTTATGTGTTATGTATGAGATTATGTGAATCTATGTGCTATGTGATATTTGCATGTTATATGATTGTATAGACCAGACCGGAAGGTCCAACGATACAGACCGGACCAGAGGGTCCAACGATTCAGACCGGACCGGAGGGCCCAACGAGCTACGAGACTGGAGGGTCCCGCTGAGACACATCGACCGAAGGGTCGTACCGTAGCCTCGAGTGGCGTATGTGTTGTATGTGGTATTTTGGGGAAATCACTAAGAATTTATGCTTACAGTTGTTGTGTTATATGTTTCAGGTATTAGCGAGGACCGTGGGAAGGCGCCGGCGTGACCCGTACACACTAAAGGAGGGATTTTATTTCGTGATCTTGGGATATGTTATGTTTTGATAAATATTGTTGAATACTTTTGAGAATATTTTTATATAAATTTGGTTGTGAAAAATGAAAATTACGTTGTTACACATGAGGCCCCGTCTGGCATCAAGCCCCACTCGATATACATATGTATTACTCCCAGGTCCCGCTTGTCACTGGGCCCCACCTTCTATACACATACAAAAAAAAATACATAATCATGCTAGCACATAAAGAATCATACACAGTTCTATATATTCTAGTTCTAAGGCCTCGCCTATCATGGGCCCCACCTCTACTCTGCTATGATGAGATATGGAACCTCATCCGCTCTCAGCTAGTGATGAGATACGGGACCATGCCCACAGTCACCTCCCTTCCAGGCATATACAAGTATCACAAAGAAAACAAGTATAACTAAACATGCATTCCTTCATCAGGTACCACCCGACATCCAACCATAGTTTGGAAACATACATATAAATATTCCTCGGGCCACGCTCGACATCGAACAGAGTCCAAAAACATACAAACATTCATCGGGCTTTCCCCAGCATCGAACCAAAGTCCAAAACATACTAACATATATAAACGAGCCTACATTGGTACCTTCGACTTGTTCCTACAGGAGAAAACTCACATCGCCAAGCTGAATACAAAATCCCATGGATAAACCTCTGGCTGCTAGCTGGCAGATCAACGAACTACTTATCTCTTGACTCCCGAGCTACTAATCATCAGAATAACATTCAATCAAAAACTAATAATCATTCTTAGGGTAAAATTTACCATTTTACCCCTGATCTAATTTGGTCCATGACCTAGGCCCAATTCAATAACATGAAAGGCCCAATACTAGATAGACTTCCCAAGCCCACTAATGATCAACCATTGGCCCAATTTTCTAAATTGAGCCCAACCCCATATGGAATACTGAAAAGCCCCACGATTCTTGGTCTAATAATAATAATTTGCTAATGGCTCAAACGACCAAGCCCATTAGGCCTGCTAAAGCCCAACTACCAACCGGGACCCTTAAGGCCTAAGCTCCAAAATGGGCCCATAAAGGCCTATCTCCAATTACTTAGGCCCAAATGGAAAATTCAATCAGATTAGTGCACTCATAGCCCAAAACAGAAAGCCCAAACCCTAAACCAATTCCAAGACCAAAAGCCCAAAAGTCCACTGGTGACACAAACGCTGGGCGTTCCCTTGTGGAGCGCTGGGCGTTCATTACCGAACCATCCATCGTGACACTAGACTGGAACGCGCATCGTTCCATATTCCTACGCTCGGTGTACCCGGCCATAAACCAAAAACACAAATTATTTAATACTTTATGTCCAAAGCTCAAATCTTCAAAATAGCTTCCTATCAGAGTCTTAATCCATAAAGTCCTTGACTTGGCACCTTGAAATGGCCCAAAAAGGACCTAACAATTCATTAAGGCTTCCAATCCATAAACCGAGATGCAAAACCTTTGCATGGTAGGTCCTTAACCATCTAGTTACCTTATTTTTTACTCTAACAACTTAGAAACATGAGGATCTTCAAACCTAGGCTCTTGGAGTAGCTCAAACTCCCACAGAGTATCCATACGCTCATAAGAAGCCCAAACCAAGACCTAAACTAGATCTTAAGAAATAAGATAGCAAGATAGAAACTTTATACCTTCTAAGGCTTGCAAATGAGCTAGAGAACTTGGATGCAAAAGCTATTCATTGGTCAATGAGGTTCCAAGATGATCACTCTCCTTCAATAATGCCAAAATACACTCAAAGATAGTCTTCCAAGTTCACACACTCACAATTAGGGTTAGGGTTTCGAAAAGAGGCTTAGGGTACTATAAAGGCTGAGAGAATGAAGAGCCTTGGGTCTTAAGTTGTTTAAATAGTTCAAATTTAGGGTTTCGAGTGCAAACATTGAACGCGCTACGTTCCTCCCTGGAACACCCCACGTTCGTCTTGGCCTCCATGTCCAATTCATGTACTGAACCATGAGCATTCAAGATATGAATGCCCCACATTCGAGCCTTGCCTCCAACACCCATCTAATAAGTAAGGTCCTAGGCTTGAAAAACTTCCATACTTAATTGATTAAAGCTTATGCATGCCATATGAATCATATAATTCCTTATATGTTACAAATCTCCCCGACTTAAACTAGACTTCGTCCTCGTAGTTTGCCACCACAAATCCTTTCGGATACCGCTCACATACCGCTTCTGTAGGCCTTGCTACCTTATATCAGATGTCACCCTTACAAGGTGAAGCCTTAGAAGTACTATGCCCTTGATAAAATACTAAATACATACCTCCCACCAACAAACAACAATTTTTCACAGAAGACAACCTTTCCGAGATAACCGAACCCGAACAAAAATTCCAACCCGGAGAAACACAAGCCTTGAACTCCCGCAAAACCACTTTTTCTTATCTAAAATCTAAAATATATAGTGGTCTGTCTCCCCGAAAGACTGCCCATGCTGAAATATTATCATGCCAGAACCTCATCGAATAACCAACAAAAACAAAATGCTTCCAACCGTGCATATCTTGTTGCAACCCACAAGAACAAATCCACTGACCATAACCAACTATAGAATACTTATACTCAACAGTAGGTTCAGATAATCCTTTGAGTAAGAGATTCATCCCTGGAACGATTAGACTCAGAAAAGATCTGTGCAACACGGTCATATCAATTACTCTGAGATTATTTAATCGTTGAACTTGGTGGTGATCTTTATCAATGTCTTCGTAGTCTACTAGAGGTCCTAGAACTCTCGTGCGAACTATTACACCTCAATCACTGGTGCAAACTCGACCCTGAACCCGACCGAGAAGTCACTCCATGTCATCGCATCAATATCGGCATCGTCTCCAATAGCATGTCCAACCTCCTCTCACCAATTGCGTACTCTATCTTTCAGAAGATAGGAGGCGATTCAAACCTATTGGATTAAGTGTCTAAGCCCATAACTATATTTGGTATGTACTTGATTTGATTATGAGCATGGTCCTTTTGGGTTGCCTTCACTCATGCAACTTGATAGGATAACAATTGGAGAGAGAAAGAGAGAGAAAGAGAGAGAGAGAGAGAGAGTAATATTTATTCTATGAATAATAAATTGGTACTCAAAATGATTTTATCAATATATTACAAGATTAACATATTATTTGGAAATCAAATTATTGATTAGTAATTAATCAAAAATTAATCTAGTATCAATTTTGGGATTAAAGGAACTGATTAATAATGGAGGGATTAGTTTTGCAAATCAATGATAGTTGCAAAGTTGGGCTATTGGATTTCCTTCGGGAGGATTGGACGAAATCTATAGGAGGCCATATAGAATATTTTCCAAGGCTTCTAATTAAGGAGCTCCACGGATTGCCAAAGGCCTAAGCAAGGAATTTAGGGTTTCCACTCGAAACCCTAATGGCCCCAACTATATAAAGCCCCTTACCCTATAGATTTCGTCCCTATGGTTTTTCAAGAGACACTGGTCGAAATTCATTACCTCTCCAACTCATCCTTTACAAGAGTTTTTGGGACTCCATTAGAGGTGCAACACTTGTGGCACTAAGCTTTCAAAGGTCAAGGTTTTCTTGTTATTAGTACATAACAAGTGAGGTAATCATCTAACCCTAGTTTATATGTCAATTTCGGAAATTGTATCCTAGTCATAGGGTTATTGCTTTGGAGGTTGTATTTTCATATTCAATAGAGAAAAACTTAGATCCAAAGCATTAGGGTTGCATTTACACCATATGAATGTTGTGTACTGCTCAAAACCTATCAATGGTATCAGAGCTTAGGATGTTTTTCAATTGAATTGCTTCAAGAGTAGACTTCCAAAAGAACAAGAAATCAAAAAAAATTGTTGTCTGATGATCAGACTTAACGATTTGCATGAACTCAACGAGTTGCACGAACTCGAAGAGTTGATGATCAGACTCGAAGAGTTGATGATCAGACTCAACGAGTTGCATGAACTCAAAGAGTTCAGTTGGCAACTCAACGAGTCGAATCGTCTGGTGCCAGTATTTTCGATTTTTTGGTCAGATTTGATTTGGATAATTACCATAACTCATTTTAATGCCTAAATTTGATTTTTCTGATTGGTATGAGATATGCTTATAAAAATTGGTGGATTGGGTTAAATATGTAGGATATAAGAATATTTTGATTCAAAGATTTAACCTAATAATTTTTGAAATGTTTTAAATTGCACCCTCTTGGATTTATAGTTTAAATGTAACAGCCGGATTTCCAGGTATATTATCTATTTAATTATTTTTGGAGTTTGTGGAGGAACTCGGCGAGTTGGAGCCAAGACTCGCCAAGTAGGGTGGCGGATGTTCATCCGGGTTCACGTCCGGACTCGGCGAGTCCAATTATGGACTTGGCGAGTCCACGCTGTTTAATGAAACCCTAATCCCCTGGGTTTGGAGCCTATTTAAGGGCACTTATAGCCCCCAATTGCGGCTATCAGCCCCTGGAGAGAACCCTAAGTGAGCCAAATCGTTGTGGGAAAGAAGAAGTCACTTTTGATCCTTTTACCTTTGGTTTAGCAAGAAAGAGGTGAACAAGAGAAAAGGGGAGGGCGATTCTAGCAGTTCCAGAGTTCAAAGACTTCATTTTGAAGTAATAGTTCGAAACTCCTTCAGTTTTGGTGTTGATCATTAGAGTTAGGGTTTTCTAACCCCTTTGGAGAGTGATTATGTGGAGCAAATGGTCCCTCTTCGAGTTTGTGCCTTGGATTTAGACTCAAAGAGGTCCAGAGACCTTAAACCTTGGAGCTTTATGGATCAGTTTCGCGTTATTGGACTTAGGTTGCCATTTTTGGGACTAAATCTCCTTTTGATGCCTTGTTGTTGTTATACAAGCATCAAGTTTCAAACTTTACGTGACATTCATGCTTGGGAAGGCCAGATCTTTGATTTAGGGAAACGGATCTGACCTCAGGAGGTCAGTAGAGTTTGTGCATGGCATGAACTCGCCGAGTTGTTCCTGAGACTCGGCGAGTA